TGGACTCATATTTCTTGTATTTTGATCTAGGGTATGAAAGAAGGCATCAAGAGCAAAGAAAGACAAATCGGATGATTTTTCACAGTTTCGACATCATTCAGTGATCTGGGCCTAACTCGCRTCTCCGAAATCCGAATGGGCTAATTCAAGATCCACTGGAAAGATAAGAGAAAAATCCACAACTTTCATGTTTTGGGATTTCGCAGATTCGGCCTGCATCGAAGTCAATTCCGGACCCGAAGTCGTGGAAAATTCATAGGAAAACCCAATCCGTAGCTGAAGCCCAACTCGTAGAAAAGCCTGGCTGAAGCCCAATTCGCAGATGAGGTCTACTACGAATACAAGAACAAGAAACTAAGAAGAATCATTCTAGATCCAAATTCTTGATGTAATCTTAGAGTGAAAAAGGGATTGAGTTCAAGAGATAAAGAAATAAGATTAGAATTAGGATAGGACTTTCTATTTTCTATAAAGATCAACTTCAAGAGAAAGTAGGAGGCCACCCCCTCCCCTTTAATCTATACAAAGGAGGGAGCGGACTAGCTTTAGGGGGGACTTGATCACTTGATCACTGACTCATTCAATCATTCAACTTCTGATCTGAATCAAGAAGCAAGGAGCAAACAGTCAAGAAGGGTTCAATAAAGGTTCAAGAATTTAAGAAACTTGAAGAAGAGGAGATCTCAGCACCATGGGCGAATTCAAGAGTTCTTTCTTTCCCTTTGTTTGTTTTAATTCTTCCATTATGAACTGATTTGTTTCTTGCTAGGGCTATGGAAAGCCTAACCAKGTTAATGAATATATTTTTATCTTCTTGATTTATCCAAGATTGTGATTTCCATATAGTCTATGAATTATTCTGCTTAATGCAATTAAGAGCTTGGCCACCTCTTAATTGATTTGGGTTATGTGAATGAATTGAGAGAGGAATTCACATAATTGACAGAATAATTCATAGTGTGAATTGAATGGTATATAGAGATATATATACATGATTCATCTAAATTTAATAGTTTTCTTGGACTTAATGCACTTCCATCTTGAGAGCTCTACTCGAGAAATCGAAGGATTACCTGATGGGCGTAGGTTTAGTATATCTCAGGAGAGAATATTAAATAAATTTGTGAAAATCTCAGTTTATGGGAATAACAATTAGTCTTGGATAATCGGACCCATCAATATTCATTACATTGGTTAGTGATCACCCTTGTTTTTATTTTCTTTGTTCTAGTCTTTATTTTCAGTAGTTCTTGTTTCCTCAAATCTAAATTTCGACTGTCCAAATAATTAGGGAAGACTGTGATTCTAATACTTATTTTGTTAAATCCCTGTGGGAACGATATTATTATACTACTTGATAACTAGTGCACTTGGTAGAGTTATATATTTATAGCTATCACAGCCCTTCAATTTCAATGTAGTTCGAAGTCAAAAACCCATCAGGCTTTTTAAGGCTATGAATATGTTTTTTCTTTTCTGATTTGAAGCTATAATATGAAAGAATCTTGTACAATGATCCCCATCAACATTTCAACTAATACAGATTCTCAGTTTCGAGTAAGTTTTCTCACGTTTCAACCATGCAAATAATTCATCCTGCAGATTTGCAATATTTTGGGGATTGACTGTTTGGTTCTAGATTGATTGTTCATGCAGTAATTGATTTTCAATATCATTAACACGCTTCTTTATACCTCCAAAGTTGGAATTGGACCATTTCTGGAGCTCAGCAAGAGTAGATTTAAGCTTTGAATGCAACGTTCCATTGAATTTGCTCCACATAGCATGGAAGAGAGAATGGAAATCTGGTTCTTTAACCCAAAATTCTTCAAAAAGACATCTTACCTTTAGTTTGCAGGAGAATAAGATGATGATCACTTCCCATCGCCGCTAAGTGTTGAACATAGGCAGTCGGGAACACATTGGCCCATTCCGTAGAGACCAGTAAGCAGTCCAATCTCTTTCTAATGAATCCCCCATCCGAACGCTGATTGGACTAGGTGAAACGAGTACCAAGAAAGCCCAGGTCAATCAGACCACAGTTCATGATCAAAGATTCCAAATGATTGATGTCCATAGCACGCCCTCTAAATTTTTTAGCAGCTGAGGAAATCATATTTAAATCTACATATGAGCACCATGGATCACGGGTAGAAGCTGAATAAAACTGAATATCATTTAAGAACTGCTGACGAGCATGAGAAGAAGGATGAACATAGTAACATGGACGATCCCACTTAGCAAAGTGAGACTGGTTCAGGACTGAACAATAAATAGCATTTTTTGAGATCTTGATAATGTCAAGATACACATTACTGGGCCACCCAATCCAGAACGACCCATCTATGGAATGATTTACATCTTATAATCAGAGGAACGACTCACATTATTCTTTGTTTCAGAGATGAAAAAGATGTCCGACTTATGTTTCAAGATGAAAAAAATGAGATGTGATAGGATAATATGAGTATTAATTATCTTTGGTAAGGCATAATTACAAGTTGACGAATAATGAGTACCGTAATACATTTGCGTTATCGAAGAGCAACACTCGGCAATCCCAAAATCGTAAGACAATATGTTGGTTATTCAAATATTATCATTTTTGAAAATATGAAGAAAATAAAGGGTAATATAGACTTTTCCTCTTTTGCGTTTGCATTTGTCAATTGTCAAAAAAGAAAAAAAAATAAAAATAATAACTACCAAAGTAGGTATATTTTGAGGAATTTTCCCAACATTAAGTTAAGGTTTATAAGTGGGTCCATTTTCTAAAATTTAGCAGCCGCCTTCTTGGAAAATACACTCGCCATTCTCTGATGCCCTCGTTAGGATTAGTCGATTATGTTCTGTTGCCCGTCGTTACTAGTCGAAGTCTTGGTACATACAGGTCAAGGTCGGGATGAGGTTTCCCGCTCTCGTTTTCCTGCTGTTATTGTGCAGGTTTTACTCGCCATTCTCTGATGCAACTGACACCATCAAACCAGGCGAATCGATCAGTGGCCAGAGGACCATCTTCTCTGCCGGCGGGGAATATGAATTAGGATTCTTCTCTCCAGGGAGCTCAAAGGGTTACTACGTCGGGATATGGTACAGAAAAATTTCAGTTCGGACGATAGTGTGGGTTGCCAACCGAGAGTACCCACCCTTCAGTTCTTCAAGTTATCTTACCATCAACAACGAGGGCAATCTTGTAGTTGTGGACGGGCGGATGTCTATCACGGTGACCTCGATATCGATATCATCTCCCGTCAATACGAGTACTGCCACCGCCACGTTGTTGGATTCAGGTAATCTAATACTCAAGGACGAGAACTCACATATCTTGTGGCAGAGCTTCGATTATCCTTCCCATACTTTACTTCCTGGAATGAGGCTTGGTCACAACGTAAAGACCGGGCATAAGTGGTCGTTGACTTCGTGGAGGGGTACAACAGATCCTGGTCCTGGAGATTACTCTGTGGAACTCGATCCTGAAAACTGGAGGCAGTTTTCCATCTTTAGGGGATCGCAAAGGTACTGGACTAGTGGGACTTGGGACGGGCTCATGTTTAGCATGATGCCTGAAATGAGACTAAACTACATCTATAATTTCAGCTTTGTTTCCAACGAGAACGAGACCTACTTAACCTATTCTTTGTACGTTGGCTCTATCATATCCAGATTGGTGATGGATCTGAATGGGCAGATCAGGCAATTCTCGTGGCTGGAAGACACGCAACAGTGGAATTTGTTTTGGTCTCAACCGAGGCCCCAGTGTGATGTTAAATCTCTATGCGGGCCTTTCGGGAGCTGCAATGAGCAGGCCATGGCAACATGTCAATGTCTGCAAGGCTTCAAACCAGTTTCTTCGGAGGACAGGAATCTGAGAACTTATAATTCAGGTGGGTGCGTGCGGCAATCCCCTTTGCGATGTGAGACTTCTAATCCGGAAATGTTGGAGGAGGACAGGTTCTTGCAGATGGATAACGTGGTGAGGTTTCCTGAAAATAATCAATCTTCTGCAGTCGGGAGTGCTGACAAGTGTAGATCATTCTGCTTGAATAATTGTTCTTGCAATGCCTATACTTATATCAGTGGCCTCTGTTTTGTGTGGTACGGGAATCTCTCGAATCTGCAACAACTACCAGAAGGTCAAAGCGCTGAACAGATCCTCTATCTCCGACTTTCTGCTTCTGAGCTTCCACAACCTAGAGGCAAGAAAAATATAATTCTCTCTTCCATAGCCATAGGTTGTTTGCAGTAGTAGAAATTTTATATAGGAGATTCCAAGGAGCTGAAATTAAGCTAGCTCTTTGGGATTACATTTACTTCCCTTATTGGTCATTGATGCTTGGTTGCTTAATTATTATCATCAGACCAACAAGCAACTTGTCTTCGTGTTCAGGAAAAAAGATCCTTTTGGGTGCAAGTATAGCAGGGGGCGTAGCAGTTGTAGTGCTTCTGTTCAGCTTCTACTTTTGTTGCCAATGGAGGAGAAGACTCAAAGGAAAAGGTAGAAGCAGCCCTTCTAATCTGATGTTAGTATGATTAGGCATGATCAATCAAATATTCTTGATGAGGTAGTGACATGGTCTTTGTTCTATACATCAACAGAAGGGCAAACGGGCCAGAATTTGTTATTGTTTAATTTCGATAGTAGCTTTGCTACTATAGGCGAACACCGTGATGAATCTAACTTCAGGGCATCTGAGAGTAAGGATGTTGAATTGCCACTGTTCAGTTTTTCAAGTGTATCCGTTGCAACAGATGGCTTCTCCGCTGCAAATAAGCTCGGAGAAGGTGGTTTTGGTCCTGTTTACAAGGTAAAACAAAATAGCTATGTCTTGACCACAATTTTACGATAAAGAAAAACTAAGGTTGCATTTGGAAACGATGCAAATAGAGTGTAAATCCTAGTTCAGGGTAAATTTGCACTCTGGTTCACTTTTACCTGTGTTTGACAATATTACATTTATGCATTGACAAATGATAGGCCAATGCATATTTACATTGATAATAAGCATCAATAAAAAAGAAGTAAATTTGCATTAAATGGGTTTTTGAGAAAAAAAAAGCATATGCGAAATTCATGTTCGCATCCATTATAGGTAAAAGTCTGTTTGATAAAAAGGTAAACTTGCTAGTGCAAAACTAACCCAATTTTACAATTTATATGAACCGTTTTACACTCTACATATTTGCATCATTTCCAAATGCAGCCTAAGGGTCGGTTTGGTTTGCAGTCAGAATGGAATTGAAATCCTTTGGAATCAGAATAGGAATTGCCTATTCCCATAGCCTATTTGGTTCAGACAGAAATGGGAATGGGAATGGAAATTAGCAAGAGTGGGATTTCATTCCCAAGGGAGGGGCAAAGAATGGCTATTCTCCCAAAAGGGGGAATGTCATTCCAGCAGGAATGAGAATGGAATTCTGATCCAACCCAACCAAACAGTTGGAATTGGAATATCCCATTCTGATTATGATTTCAAACCCCTATTCTCATAAACCAAACGGGGCCTAAATGTGTTACACACAGTATTCCATCATAGAATTATGAACTCGTTAAATATTACAAGTTATTTGAGACACTTGAAGCATGCATTCTCAAGCCAGAAATGAGCATCAATTTCATTGTCCTCCATTTTCAGGGTAAATTACTCAAGGGACAGGAAATAGCAGTGAAAAGGCTTTCAAGAAGATCTGGACAAGGGTTGGAGGAGTTAAAAAATGAAACCATGCTTATTGCAAAACTCCAACACAGAAATCTTGTTAGACTCTTGGGCTGCTGCATTGAGGGAGAGGAAAAAATACTGATCTACGAGTATATGCCCAATAAAAGCCTGGATGTTTTCCTATTTGGTTTGTTCATTTAGTACTCTGGATTTTTTTTCTCCATTTTCATCGACTTCTTATTTGACTTTTCGCTGCATTTGATTGTTTTGAGGGCATTTTACAATTTCTTCTTTGTCCTTGACTGTAAAATTGAGACAGATCCAAACAAATGTGAGGTATTAGATTGGGGAAAACGTGCCCGAGTCATTGAAGGAACAGCTCAAGGACTTCTTTATCTTCACCATTATTCCAGATTACGAATTATTCATAGAGATCTGAAGGCTAGCAACATTCTTCTGGACAGTGGCATGAACCCCAAAATTTCGGATTTTGGCATGGCAAGGATTTTTGGAGAAAACAAGTCAGTAGAAAATACAAATCGGATTGTAGGGACTTAGTAAGTAATTACACATGTCACACAGACTTTGAATATATTTATATGTGTAATAAAATTTGATATAGGCAATAACATCTCAAAGATTTGGGTTGAATGATTAAATGCAGCGGTTACATGTCCCCTGAATATGCCACTGAAGGCCTTTTCTCTATAAAATCCGATGTCTTTAGCTTTGGAGTTCTGATGCTAGAGATTTTGAGTGGCAAGAAGAACACTGGGTTTTATAATTCTGACTCTCTCAATCTTCTTGGATATGTAAGTAGTGATAGAACTATATCCTGACCTTTATCTACAATTCGTTGTTTTCAAGGTTCTCTAATCTTACTGAAATTAAACTCACTCTTTCAGGCATGGGAGCTATGGAGAAGTGAGAGAGGATTGGAACTAATAGATCCAATGTTGGGCAACCCACCATCTATGTCTCTGTCATTGAGATACATCAATGTGGCTCTACTGTGTGTCCAAGAAACTGCGGCTGATAGACCGACAATGTCAGACGTCGTCTTGATGCTCAGCAACGAGCTTGTAGCTCTACCTTCGCCTAAACAACCTGCTAACTCTACTGCCAGAAGTCTGACAGTAGTAAACTCCGATGCTAGCAGGCCTGGAATTTGTTCAATAAATAATGTCACGGTCTCAATGATTGAAGGCCGCTAGAAGTTAATTTATGTTTCCCATTTTGATTTCTTCACAAATTAAACATTTTTTCCTCCCAGTCCCTGGTTTAATACGTTATTCTATATGTATATAAATATATATATTTATCATTTTATTATTCTATTTCTGTCCAATGAAACGGTATTTCGGATTTCCAAGTGAATGGGCAAACAATGCCTAGTGGCTTCTCCAAACGGATCTGCTGACAACAAGATGGTATGGTAGCCATAGCAGATCTAGACAAATACTCTGTTTCTTTCTCAAGAGCTCAGTGCATCTGTCTCTTTATACGTATAAGAGCCTTTTCACTTGTAAGTTCATAGAAGAATCAAATCCCGGTTCCAGAAATCAATTGTAAGCGACCCACTTCATTAGGTCATGCAGAAAGATAAAAGAGTGGAAGCAAATAAAAACCTATTCAGGATTCTCACACCAACTGGAACTTTCAGCTCACCCACAACCACCATTGATCAAGATCGTTGGTGGAACCTGTCAGTATTACAGAATATCCGAACATATATATATACCAATTCACAAGTGAAAAATAATAAGTGTCTTCAATTCATCGGATGTTGCGCTGAGATTTGCATCTTCTCATCACAAATTTTTCCTATATTGCATCTCCATGTTTTGTCATGGTATCAGAGCAACGACCACACTTGCTGCTACAATCTTGACTGATTTTTCTGCAGTTTCTTAACTGATTCCTTCACCCCTTGGCTTTTGATCCCTCAAATTCTTGATCTCCCATATGAATCCGTATTTCTTCAGTAGTCTCTGCTTTTCGTCATGAATTCAGATCTGAGTTTTGAATCTCCATATTACCTTCACCCCTTGGATAATCCAGGGACTGTGTTGGTTTCTTGTCTCTTAACAGATGAAAACTGTCCCACCTGGTCTGGAGCTATGCGGAATGCATTACAGGCAAAGAATAAGTTTGCTTTTGTTGATGGAACGCTGGAACGACCTGAATCTTCCACGACAAAAGAACAAATTTGGGACAAATGCAATTCCATGGTGATTTCATGGATCTTTAATTCCCTAGCTCGTGAACTCCATGATAGTGTTGCATACGCTAATACCGCCAGAGATATTTAGCATGATCTTGAAGAAAGATTTGCACAAGGAAATGCTCCTCACATCTTCCAGCTGAAACACGACCTATCAACCTTGCACTAGGGTGATCTCTCTATCGCCTTCTACTTCATCAAACTGAAAGGATTGTGGGACAAGTTAGCAATTCTTGCTCCTCTTCTTGATTGTAGCTGTGGTGCAGCAAAAGGAATAGCTGCAGAACGCAAAAGGGACAAACTTAACCAATTCTTGATGAGACTGAATGAGGTGTTTAGCAATATCCGTTCCAACATTCTAGCTACTGAAGCACTCCCAACCATCAATTGAGCTTATGCTCTAGTGGTCCAAGAAGAACGACATCAGTCCATACTACCAACCAAATGTTTAGTTATCCCAGAGGCCACTGCTTTCTTTGTCCCACGAACCATTGATCGATTTGCTTGTCCCCGTCCAAAATGCGAGCACTGTAAGCAGACAGGTCATGTCAAAGAATGTTGTTACGAGTTACATGGCCACCCAGAAGGATGGGAAAGAAACAATCTAGTACGTGGTCCAAAATAGAATTCCCCAGCGACTGCCTGTACCACGATGACTGGGTCTTTACCTGAAAACAAATCTTCATCTATATTAGTGATTGGCTCGACTCCAGAACAATATAATAATGTCATGAGGTTACTTAATGTAGATACTTCAACCATTTGTGCCTCTAATGTAGCTGGTAAGACTTCATTTCCTTCTGATAACAGCAGGTCCACCGCTTCAAATCATTGGATACTTGATAGTGGGGCATCCGATCACATTGCATCTACTTTATCTTTGTTCCTAGACATTTCCCCACTATTCTCTACCACCATAGTTCATCTGCCAAATAGATCCACCTTTGCAGCCAGTCATAAAGATTCCATTATATTGGACTCAAATCACATTATGCATGATGTTTTATGCATCCCCGAGTTTAAATTTAATCTCTAGTCCATTAGCAAACTCACGCTCCAATTGCGATGTACTGTTGTGTTCTCTTCTGCTTCTTGTACACTTTAGGACCCAGCTTCAATGAATCTGATTGGCAAGGGGGTGTTGCGTAATGGACTCTACTGTCTCCTAGCCATCAAACTTTCAATTGCTCTATCTATTCACACTACAAAAGGCTATTCTATTTGGCATAATAGATTAGGACATGCCTCGTCTCATCAACTATCAATCATCTCTAGTGGCAGCTTAACTTCACCAAATAAAGCCTGTGATGTATGTGAAAAGGCCAAACACACCTGAACTCCATTTCCTATGAGCTCTTCTTGAGCTTCAGCTCCATTTTATCTCATCCATTGTGACATATGGGGGGCTTTCCATATACCTACACACTCAGGTGCAAGGTATTTTTTAACCATAGTTGACGACTACAGCTGGTGTACATGGGTATTCCTCATGAAAAATAAGTCTGATACATACAACTTCTTGATTTCATTCTATAACATGGTGAAAACTAAATTTCACACCATTGTTTGGATTGTGCGTTCTGATAATGGTAAAGAATTTCTCTCAGGCCCAATGTAGTAATACTTTATGAACAATGGCATTTTGTACATCAAACATCATGTGTAGACTCTCCTCAACAAAATGGTGTTGTTAAGAAAAAACATCACCACTTACTGGAAGTTGCACAGGCCTTACGTTTTTAAGCCTCGCTCCCTTTAGTATTTTGGGGAGAATATGTTCTTACTACAGCCTACATTATCAATTACTTGCCTCCATTACCATTACAAGGTAAATCTCCTTATGAGTTGTTGTTTGGAAAAAAAACCCTTCTTACACCCATTTACGGACTGTTGGACGTTTGTGCTATGTTCAAGAACTTCTTATTTCAAAGGACAAATTTGCACCAAAGGCCTCTAAATGTATTTTCATAGGCTATCCTTTTGGTCAAAAGGGATACAAAGTTTACAACCTTGATTCCCACCGAATTTTTACTTCTTGAGATGTTTCCTTTTATGAAACAACATTTCCCTTTACTACCACCATGTCACAACCTTCACCTGTACCACCTCACAAAAATGTGGTCATCCCTTTACCCTAGTTTGAGGACCCATGTGTTGACATTTCACCCTTTACAATACATATTGACATCAACAATACAAGATCCATGGTAATGAAGCCCAAACCATTGTTAATTGTCCCCATGAGAGCCCGCCCATTGTTAATGATGCATCACTACCACCCAATTCTGATTTGGACAGATTACCCACAAACCCAATGCTACGTCCTCAATTTACTAGGCACACTCTATCTCACCTTTGTGACTATAATTACAGTTTACCCATCCCCCTCTCTAACACCATTGCTACAACTCCCTTACCAGTTGAACCCACCGCTTACTCTCATGCTGCACGTGACCCTAATTGGTGCAAAGCCATGGAAATTGAGATTGATGCATTGGAGCGTAACCAAACATGGCTCATTATGGACTTACCACCTGGAAAGAAACCAATAGGATCCAAATGGGTGTATAAATTGAAATTCCGTGCTGATGGAACCATTGAACGCTATAAGGCATGACTAGTGGCTAAAGGTTATATATAGATTGAGGGCCACGATTATCATGATACATATGCCCCTATGGCCAAACTTGTAACTCTACTGTGCCTTCTCACCATTGCTGCTATAAAAGGATGGGAACTACATCAGCTGGATGTGACTAATGCCTTCTTACATGGCGACTTGTCCGAAGAAGTATACATGACCATTCCTCTAGGTTTTCCTAAACATTCTAAAAACAAAGTTTGTAAGCTGTAGAAATCTCTATATATGCTCAAACAAGCCTCTCGTTGCTAGTTTGATAAATTTGCTACTGCCCTAAGGAACTATGGTTTTACCAATCAGTCGTGGATTGCCCATTTTTTACCTCCAATCATTCAGATTCATTTGTGGCTGTCCTAGTGTATGTTGATGATCTAATCATCACCGGGAATGATGTTGCCCGCATTGATGTTCTTAAGACATATCTCCATAGTTGTTTTCATCTCAAAGATCTTGGGTCTCTCCACTACTTTCTTGGGCTTGAGGTCACACGTTCTAATTTTGGAATTTTGTATGCCATGGACATCATCACTAAAATAAGCATGACTGATTGCAAGCCTGTATCTCAACTTATGGAGCAACAGAAACAATTCGTTGACATGGATAACCCACCATTGATTGATCTAGCCCGATATCGATGGCTCATTGGCCGCCTCATTTACCTTACCATCACTAGGCCTGAACTAACTTTTCCAGTTCACATGTTGTCACAATTTATACATGATCCTCATGAAGAACATATGTAAGCTGCCCTTCGCATTGTACGTTACATCAAAGCAACTCCAGCTCAAGGAATTTTCTTCTCTTCATATGCTAATTACACCCTTATAGGTTACTGTGATTCTTACTGGGCCACATGTCCCCTTATAGGGAGATGGACTACAGGATATGTCACCATGCTTGGAACATCTCCCCTATCATGGAAAACAAAGAAATGAGCCACAAGTGCATTCTTCATGACCTTGGTCATACCTTACAACAGCCTATTTAACTTCACTGTGATAGCTAGGCAGCTATCCACATTGCAACAAATCCCATTTTTCATGAGTGGACAAAGCACATTGACATTGACTGCCATTTTGTTCGGGAATACGTCCAAAAGAAGGACATCTAGCTCTGCCACCTCTCCACTAAGTCTCAATCGGCTGATATACTTACTAAAGCTCTAGGGACTGACCAATTTCATTTTCTTGTACGCAAGTTGGGTGTCACTACATCTCCAACTTGAGGAGGTATTACAGCATATTCGAATAGTTAGGCAGTCATAACTAAGCTGACGTGGCACTATATATATATATATATATATACGATGAGGGTAATTTGGTCCTCCCAGTTGTACAACGACATGTGGCTTCCGGATGACATCTTGGCGCCAAGTTAGCAAGCTAGCTTAGTCAAATTAGCTCAGAGCATCTCACCCAGGCTGACCTCTACCTTGGCGAGACCGAACTAGCTGACCCCATAGGATTATGACAAGCTGTCCTAGGAGTCGGTTAAGCTGTAGGGACTTAAGGCAACCTGCTAAGGAGAGCTCGCTAACCACCCCCAGCAGTTCACCTCAGCAAGACCGAGATGGCACCGACCTGTTCTAGGAGCCGTCTAAACTGAGAGGACCTAAGACGACCTACGAGGAGGAGCTTGCTAACCGTCCCTAGCAGCTCGCTACCAATGGCGCCGATAGCGTGACCGTTAGAACGACTCACCACGTCACGCGCCTCGACTTCACTTGGTCGAATCGTAATTCCCACGAAGATCTTTCAACTGATCCACAAAGAGCTCAATACTGTTACCCTGAACCCCTAGAGCCCAAGAGCCTATATAAGATGTCCAGATCCACCCAAAAAGGTATGCGCACTAAAGCTCTTAAACTCTCACATATTCTCACAAAATTCCCATTCTGACTTAAGCATCAGAGTGTTCTCCTAGGTAAAATGTACCTAGGCACTCTAATCCTTCTTTCTTTATAGCTCTTTCCAGCTCGGACGTACTGATACCATCTCGTCCGTACAACTCAGCACTGCCAAATCAGAACATTGTTCAAGCCTAGTCACTGAACACGAGGGAGCGAGCAGATCGCACATCATCAATTAGCGCCATCTATGGGAACACGTTACAAAAAGCTAAGTTCTCTATTACTGTTTTGGAAGTTAAGAAATGGCCTCCTTAAGCAACCAGCTTGCTAGTAATAGCAACAACAACAACAGTGATAATGGTCGAATCCCCACTGTTACTATTGGATAAATTGACATTCCCCTGCACCCTGTTATTATACTAGAGAATATGAACGCGCCTCCTCCTACGATTGAGCCCGTAGTGGCTCTTGCAGCAATAGACGTGCACTAGTTCTATGATATGGTACGTTGCGTGCAAGGAATGAGCAAGCAACTCAAATCCTGGAAAACAAATTCATCTCTGTAGCAGGAGAGCAACAACAACAACAACAACACCAACCCCACTAGGTGCCTCTCGAGTAAGTACCTCAACACAGCTAACAAGTGCCTCTCGGGTAGGTGCCTCGGAACAATCAACAGGTACCTCTCCAGTAGAATGTCAGACTGAATCAGGTCGGCCGCATCAACCTGGCCCCAGTCTGTAGCCAGATTCAAGGATTTAACAGTGTACCAGGGAACACCAACAACCAGCCTCCCATTGACAACGTGGCCCTTAATAACAACCAGCTACCAATGGAGAGCCGAGCTGTGGCTCCGATTGGGACCAAGGCCGCAAGCTCATCCACATGGACTAAGAAAAAGCATGGAAGGCATGCTCACCACACTAGGAAGAAAAGCCAGCTCGCTTCAACCAGGGAGACATTAGGAAGCAAAGTGAACAACGAGGAAGAGACAAGAAGCAGCAAGAAAAAGAAGAGAAGTAAATCTCCTAGAATAAGCAAGTTTCCTCGGAGCAGGAACAACAACTCACCACGAAGAAAAAGCAGGTAGCCACCTCGAAGCTCGACTCAACGACTGGCCACTCCATCTCTATACCACAACTCACCTTTGACGTGCTAAAAAAATACCTTAGTTCGCCCCCCTGTTGACCAAATTGGAGACCGAGGTCGAGCTCAAACTTTACCTCTCTGCGAGTAACGAGGTGGTTAGCTCGGTCCTAGTAAGTGAAGTCTACAAGGTACAACAACCAGTATACTACGTGAGCAAGGTCCTGCATGCTACTGAGACAAGGTATCCTGATATAGAAAAGCTTGCCTTTGCATTAGTGCTAGCAGCCCGGAAGCTAATGCCCTACTTTCTGGCCGCATACCATCGTTGTCCTGACCGATCAACCTCTGAGGCAAATTCTTCAGAAGCCCGAGGTCTCGGGGAGACTAACGGAGTGGGCAATAGATCTTAGCGAATACGACATCCGTTATGAGCCGAGACCAGCAATAAAAGCACATGTTCTCGCATATTTTATTGTCGAGTGCACTTTTAGCTCGCCAACCCCTAACGCAACTGAGCTCGCAACAGCTTAGAGGCTTCAACCAGTGTAGCACCACCCCTCGCGAGCTGGGATGAGGAGCCCTAGATGCTCCATGTTGACAGCTCGTCCAATCAGGGTGGGAGCAAAGCTAGGTTGATACTCTATGGACCATGCGAGGTAAAGTTGGAGTACGTGTTCTGGTTTCAATTCCAAGCTTCAAACAATGAGACCAAGTACGAGGCATTAATAGCTGGGGTAGCACTAGCAAAGGAAGTAGGAGCCAAACACCTCATAGTGTGTAGTAACTCACAGCTCATCATAAACCAAGTGAATGGGGAATATGAAGCGCAAGAACCCTTCATGGCAACTTACTTGGCCAAGGTAAGAGAACTCCTCCCCAATTTCGATTCTTGGTATCTCCAACAAATTCCGAGATCAGAAAATACAGAGGTTGATGCTCTTTCCAGATTTGTGAGCACGATTGACTCGACAAAATGAACGGTCTACATAGAAGAGTTGCCTCGTCCCTTGATAGAAAAAGGGGTCGAAGTGGTCGCCCATATAACTAATACAAAGCTGAGTTGGATAGACCCAATCTATAACTACCTAAAACACGACACAGTGCCAAAAGAAAAAAAAATACAACTCGAATAGAATGACAGGCAACTCCCTACATGATAGTGGGCGAGTTGCTTTAAAGAAGGTCATTCACACTACCCTACTTACGATGCCTACGAATGACTGAAATAGACCATGTGCTGCACGAAATCCATGGAGGGCTCTGTTGAGGACATTTGGGGGGTTGGGTGGGCAGGGACGTGGCTATAATTTATTCTTGAAGGGGCCAACTTTTCTTGTTCCGACTTATGCTTAGGTTTTCCGACCACTTGGCCACTGTCATCTCCGGTGAATATTTATGTCTTAGTATTTCTGTTTGACGTCTTGCCAGTTGCCGCTGGGAGGGGTGTTGTATGTATTCGTCACCGTGTGCGCATGTGTATGTGAAAAAAAGAAAAAAACAATGAAAAAGAAAAAACAGTGTATGAAGTATGTGAACTATGAATTCAGAATTGAGATTATTCCTCACTGAGCGCGCCTCACACCGGCCTCACAGACACATCCCACACTGTATTGGGAACATCTCCCATAAATTACGGGAGATATTCCGATGTGCGGCGAGGCATGTGTTTTGGATTTTTTTATATTTTATTTCTTCCCTTTCCTGCCTTTCTCCATTTCAACCTTTGAGGTAGCAGTAGCACCATGGCATCCGGTCAAAACACAAAACTGTACAGACTTATTGCGAAGGAAGTTCCCTCAATCACGCAACAACTATATTTTACCCTTGTTTCCGCTGGCGAAATGGAAAAGTGAAATGAAGAAGAAGAAGTAAAAAACAGATAAGATCTCAAAATCAAAAGACCCGTTCATGGGGTGCTCTGTTCTTTCATTGTTTCCGTTCTTCATCTTGTCCTCATCGCTTTTGCTAACTTGCGTCACTGGAAACGATAGGATTAAATCAGGGGAAATGATAACCGAGAACCAGATTTTAGTCTCGGCTGGAGATACCTTCGCCTTAGGCTTCTTCCGTCCTGGCAATTCTACCAAGCGGTATCTCGGTATATGGTACCATAACATTCCCGTACAGACAGTCGTTTGGGTTGCTAACAGGGAAAAACCCCTTACAAAGAAATCTTCCGGGAGTTTTACGGTCAACGACGATGGGAATATTGTTGTTTTGGATGGAAAGGGAAACGTTATATGGTCATCGAATGCTTCAGGTGCCGATATTGGTAGAAACAACACATTTGGGCTACTAATGGATTCCGGCAATCTTGTTTTGAGACACAGTAATCAGACCGACTTGTGGCAAAGCTTCGATCATCCCTCCGACACACTCTTACCCAACATGAGAATTGGCTTGAATCTAAAGACTGGCCAAAGCATCAGTCTAACATCATGGACAAACGAAGAAGACCCAGCACCCGGAGAATTTTCTTTAGGCGTCGACGTTCAGAGGTCTATCCATATTTTTATCTGGCGAAAGTCGAATCCATACGTGAGAGGCGACGTTTGGGATGGTCGGCTGTTTCAAGGAGGAGCTGCGCCCACCGGCAACTACGCCGGCTTTAATAGCTATTTTGTCAACGACGAGTGGGTTTACATGACAGTAAGTCTGTCACAGAATTTGAACCTTTTGAGGTACAAGTTAGATCAAAATGGGCAACTCGTGACATTTTCATGGCTGCAAGACAAGAATCAGTGGGATGTGTTATCATCAGTGCCGCAGGGATGTGATTTCTATGGTCGTTGCGGTCCGAATGGCAGTTGCGATCAAAAGATTAAAAACAGCTCTTCCCAACCGCTCTGCAAATGTTTGATAGGGTTCGAGCCTAGAGTTGGCGATGAGTGGGATATGGGAAACTGGTCTCGAGGCTGCGAGAGGCAAAGGGAACTGAGTTGTGACAAGACAAACGGGTTTTTGAGGTTCGAAAGAATGAAACTACCCGATCATTCCATCACACAGAGAAATTTGAGTATGCCAGATTGTGAAACTGATTGCCGGCGGAATTGCTCTTGTACAGCTTATGCTTTTAGTAATTTTAGCGATGGGTTTGCTTCTATGTGTATGATTTGGGTTGCAGACTTCATGGATCTTGTGCAGGATTATTATGGCGGATTAGATCTTTATGTACGACTTGATGGTTCTGAGTTAGGTACTCATTGTTTCTTTGTTTGATTTGCATTTTGGAATATACAGGATGTTTCTAATTGTTAATTTTTGTCTAATCTTTCCATGGACCTTAAAGCACGTATGCCACGAGTATAAATAGAGGCTTAACCACAGAAATATGCTCTGTTTCTTTTCTTAATTTGTTATCTTCGTTTGCTTATGTAGCCAAAAATAAAATATATCATTCTTTTCGACCGTAAAGCTTTATATGGCTGGGCTATTGATTTTCTACCTCGTGCACTGCAGCAGTAAATGGTGGAACTACTGACGATAAGAAGAGACGTCTGGTAGCAATTGCAGTAGCAACAGTTGTTAGCGGATTGTTTCTTATCGGTGCTTTTGTTTATGTTCTTTGGTGGGGTAAGCTTAAAAAGAAATCTCTCTCTCTGTCTCTCTCTCTCTGTCTCTCTGTCTCTCTGTCTCTCTTTCTCTCCAAACACACAAATTATAGGAAATCAGTACCCTAAATACAGATAAAAACGTTGAAATTAGAGTATGCTAATTATCGTTTTCTTGGAGTTGGAGCATTCTTTTCATGTCCCAAGCCACAACAAGAAATGATGGATTGGGTCTTCAAGATTATAAGTTACCCGACAACCAGCAAAGGGTAACCCCCCGTTCCACACAATGAATGCTTAATTTTTCTGTCTCTTTGAAAATAGGTGGGGAAGAAAAAAGAAACATTGAAGCTAACTACAACGATTCTGAACTGCTTATAAGCAAGAATTGTGCTCCAGAGCTGTCTATATTCAGTTTTGGTAGTGTTCTGGCCGCTACCGACAACTTTTCTGCAACAAACAGATTGGGAGAGGGTGGTTTTGGCCCTGTTTACAAGGTAATGCACTTGGATTCCTAGTCTGTCTTTTACAGTTAAAGAATTCCCTTGGTTGTTTCAAGTTCAAATGTCGAAAAAATTGTTCTTATTTACAAAGAGGATCTAAAATGCATATTCCAAAAATTTCAGGGATGCTTGCCTGATGGTCAAGAAATAGCTGTCAAAAGGCTTTCTAAGGAGTCTAAACAAGGATTTGAGGAGTTTATGAATGAATTAAAACTAATTGCTAAGCTCCAGCATAGAAATCTTGTTAGACTCTTGGGTTGCTGTGTACAAGGAAACGAAAAGATACTGATATACGAGTACATGCCGAACAAAAGCTTGAACAAACTTCTGTTTGGTTGGTCATTGTTTTAGTGGTTCCAGTTTCTACGACTTTAATTTAATATCAATACAACATGCTTAGGCTAGCTGATCAAGAATAATTATAAATACCCAATTACCCATATATCAGAAATTTGATTTACAAAAGTTACTTGATTTTTCTTAACTGTTAAATTGCAATGTTGATCTGAATCTTGTGATGGAAATATCTATCATCAGATCCCACCAAACAAGCATCCTTGGATTGGCATAAGCGTTTTCACATCATAGAAGGGATTGCTCAAGGTCTTCTTTATCTACACAAATATTCTAGATTAAAGGTCATCCACAGGGACCTAAAGCCAAGCAATATACTGTTGGATGAAGAGATGAACCCCAAAATTTCAGATTTTGGGATGGCAAAGATATTTGGTTTGAGCCAGACTCAAGCCAACACTCGTAGATTGGTTGGAACACAGTGAGTTTTATTTATATCCTAATTAACATTATTTTGAATACTTTTTGTGCTACCCATTTTTTTTTTAATCTTTTGGAATGACATACAGTGGTTATATGTCACCTGAGTATGCCTGGAAAGGGATCTTTTCTGAAAAATCAGATGTATACAGCTTTGGAGTGCTACTATTGGAAATTGTAAGTGGTAAAAGGAACACAGGCATGAACTCTACCAACCCAACGCCATCCCTGTTGGGACATGTAAGTATTAAAAGCACCTTTCCCTTTTAATTTGCTTTATATGGTGCAACATGGTTCAAATAGTTTCTTCCAGAAGAAATGATCAATGTACTATTTTAGGCATGGCAACTGTGGATAGAGGGTAGAGCTGTGGAACTTATTGATCCATCAATTAAGGATTCATTTCTTCCAAATGAAGTTGTGAAATGCATTCATGTGGGACTCTTGTGCGTCCAGGAGGATCCAGTTGAGCGACCAACAATGTCTTCAGTTCTTTCAGTGCTGAGCAATGAAATCGTGTCCTTGCCATTGCCCAAAGAACCTACTTTTTCTGTAGTGAGAAAATCCACTGCTGTTTCTTCGCCTTTGAACACACTTACAAACCAATACTCCATAAACTATGTGACAATTACCATGGAAGAGCCCAGATAGATCTTCCAAATTCACAAATGCATTATAATTAGTTCCTTTGTTCTGGTATACTAGATAGGTACTGAGTGGGATGCATTATGCTATTGATGGAGATATTCTTACAGAATTTTGTTTTACAGTTTGAGAGAGAAATAAAGAGATGGATGTCTGCTCTTATATCAACAATAAATATTACTCATTATTTCATTATTTTGTTGAATTTCCAGATATTATTGGATTTTTTTTGCTTTATTTTTTGTTAAATGAGATACGAATAAGTCTATTAATAAAAGCTAAGAACTTTCATTCCATTCCACGTGGTTCAAAATGCCATAACCATATATATATTGATAGTGTCTCAGTTGGTAGGTTCTCTAGCTGTTTGGAGGAGGGGGGGGGGGNGGGGGGGGGGGGGTTATAAGTTTGGCCCATTTGGAAGACGGCCCACGGCCCCTTTGTGTAGCCCGACTAATAAAAATTAAATAAATGAAAGTTTGCTGAAAACAAATATGTTATGAAAGCGACCGGGTTCTATTAAAAGAGAGGAGAAAACAATGACAAATATACTTCAATATACAAACTACCCGATTACTCAATATTTGGTATTTTACTCAATACTTTTCACTTCATTTGTCAAGTCAGCTAACCAAATTTGACCACTAAATTCTTCAAAGGAAAAGTAAAAAGAGCTTGACCATTGAATTATGAAACCAAACTACCACAAAGAGTTAAATCTAAGAATGCATCATTGGGAAGGCATGCAAAGTGTGAGTGTAATTTGAACTACTTTTCTAGTTAGAATACTTCTATTTTTGAATTTGGTCTCTATAATCATAAGATTATAAAACGTAATTAATTTAAATTACTACATTTCTTCTCATTTAATTCCCTTTCATTAAGTTTTACATTTAGGATTAACTCACATTCTTTCATTTAATCCTATATTAATTAACCATATTAAAAAAATATGTATCATAAATAATAATTATTTTTATTGATGGTAAAAATAAAGTACAAATTTAAAACCAACCAAAAAATGGAGTTGTTTTGTTGTATGGTGGCGAATTAACAATTTAACCTTTTGGGTCAAAACGTGTCAACTCTTGATGTAATAGTTACTAATAATAAAAATTATTAAAATATGAAAACACGCAATGTAATTAAGAAAACAAAAAAATGTAGAAAATTTTGGATACATCTCTAATATCATATACTCGTCATATTAAACAAAAATAAGTGTGGCAAATAAGAATATTTTTTATAGACATAAAAATATAAAAAATTTTAGAAACATATTATTTATCATCATCATCATCATAAATTGCCACATGCAAAGCATGTACGCACTTACTGGTTATTTTTTAAAAGCATGAATGATGAGTTTATGGATTTCTTCTTGATTAAAATACCCTTTTGAATTTGGTCCCTTATTCTGAAGGCATAAACTATTGTAATTAGAACTACTATTCATCTCGTTCAATTCCTTTACATTAAATCTAATATTTAACGTAATAACTCTCACCTAAGGTTGTCAATTGGACTTGATTTGGTCCAATCATATCCCATCCAATCCAACATTTGTCCATTTACAAATGGATTGGCCCAAATCTGGTCCAAACCCCATACAAACCGGTTCCAATCCAATCCAAACTAAATGAAACATTGAAAATTATATGAAAGCCCAGAAAATATAAAAAAATTGCAGAAATATATTATTAAAATTTTCAAAAAATATAAAAAAAATGCAGAAATAAAGCCTACATTAAAATTGTATCAAGAATTATACAATTGTTGTATATGTAACAATGAATATATTATACAGTTATGCAGTAATGTGTACTATTGAATTATAGAGAAATTGCAAGTTGCAATAAGTATCAGTTATGCAATAATGTCTTCTTTCACAAAAGGAAGACCAGCCCATATAACCTTCAGCTCCACTTAAGCAGAACCTTGAGTTATTCTGTAATAATTAGCACCTAAAACACATGAAACACTTTGATCAGTTCTAATAACAAATACATAAGACACAAATTATCATCTTTTCTGTCACCATAGCATGTGTTTTGGCTCTTCCACAAGCAAAGCTTTGCTTGTTTGTCCCTTTTAAATGGAAAAAATTACAACCTATGCGAAATTCTTCTCTTATTCAAAAAAATACTAAGTGTTTGAAGCAGAGAAGCTATTCATGCAAAGGGCCAAAACATCCAATGTAAGAGAGAAGATTATGAGAAAACAAAAACATAAGAAGCATATAAATGGCTGGAATGAACATTTTGGCAATCATCTTACAACCCTTGCATGAATGTAAAACAAAATGTCAAATAATAGACCATAAACGTGATCCAAACAGGCAACCCTCCCAAAGAATAGACCATGTGATCCGGCCACAACAAATGTAGAATGGCCGGTGACATTACCAACTATTAAGGAACAAACCACTTGCTACCAACCACAACAAATATCTATGAGTATACTGAAACCACATCAAGTAAGCAAACTGAAGATGCTTCAACAAGTAGCATGTATTTGTACATATCTTCATACCTATAACTTGATGATTTTGGTAATAATGTTTTTGGAATTAGCATGGTATTGCACTAATTATAATGAAATTGTCTTGCAAGATGATTTAGAACTTAATTGGGCAATTTTAAGGAGGAGTTCGATTTAATTGATCAAGATAATCATAGAGGAATGACCATGCAACAATGATGCTCCATGGTGTAGCCATGAAGGAGAGAATCCATTGAAATTGGATTTGATATGTATGCACAAAAATTGGGAAATTTCTTGTTTTGATATAGTTCCCGAATTTTGGGAATAACTTTCTACCTACAACTCGGATTGAGGTGATTCAAATGGATAATTAAATCTAAGAGATAGGGCTACAACTCTTGTGTGTATCACTCAACCTAATTCCACCGCCAACCAAGTGCAATTCGAGCTACAATTTTTGGGTCTAGCAGTTGATAGTGCAGAAGAGATAGGAATTCAATTGAGATAAAGACTAGGAGACCTAATTTGTTTTGAATTAGGAATCTGTATTGAGAAGCAATTGAGGGGAGGCTGCACTATAAAAAAGGCCATAGATTCAAGGCAATGAGGCACATCCTTAGAGAGAATTCAGCAGAAAAGAGAAGAGGAAGCAGTCTCAGCACATCAGAAGAGAAGAGGAAGCAATTTCAACACGCCAGAAAAAAAGAGAGGAAGAATCTGAATTCAAGAGGGAGAAAGACTTACTTGCTACACTTGTCTTCTACCTTCAAAGGCTAATGTTTTCTTATTATTCTATTCATTCTTTGATGTGTTCTTGATATGTTTCCCCTTTAATTTTCTTGAGTATATTGAATTTAATGATATTTAGCTAAATTCTCTTAGTTAGGGTTTAGATGGATTTTGATCTTAAGATTATATAGTTATTTGTTTAATTCAATTCAAGACCTTTACTATTTGCATGAGGAATTTTTATTGCTATGCTTAATGCTTTAAAAGAATTGACCAATCTTTTAATGATTGGATGATTCATGCATGGCTAACTAAAGGATTGTTATGAATTAGATCCCTAGGCAATAAAAATCGCATGATAGACTATGATATCGAAAGATGATTATCTCATGTGTGGGAATCAATGATGCTTAGTGAATCAAATCCCCTTCTACGATTAGAGGTTTCCAAAGAAAATGCTTATTTTTCCTTTTGACAATCACTTAGAAATTTAATGGTAGAATTGGATTAATAAAGGATTAATATGACTTGAGAAAACTTATTAATTAATTTAGGGAAATCCACCATCACATGCAAATAACTTTAATATATCTTAGGGTAATTTCGGTCTTGAGTTGGATTAAATAGGTAATTATATAACCTTGATTTAGTGAAATATAAACCCTAGCTGCATTCATCCATCAATTTAGTTTTTATTAAGTTCTTGGATTTGCATTAATTCTTTTATTTTTATTCACTCAATTGATTCACGAGTTCGACTTAGGTTAGTTTAAAATTGATTTGGTACTGCGATGTAGTCTCTGTGGGATTGACACTTTTCTCATCATTATACGCACATTTGACTAAGGTACACTTAACTGAATTAATTGTGCTTAAAAGAAGTAAGAGGTTTTTGGGGACATGTAGGTTTTTATAGAAGGTTCATTAAGGACTTTTCTAAAATTTCTAGGCCTCTAACTAATCTTTTAGTGAAGGACGCACCGTTTGTGATTGATAGTGCTTGTTTGCATGCATTTAATTGTTTAAAAGAGAAATTGATCCAATCTCCCATAGTTTTGGCCCCCATATGGAATTTGCCTTTTGAGATCATGTGTGATGCAAGTGATGATACTTTAGACGCAGTTTTAGGACAAAGAATAGACAAGAAATTTTATACCATTTATTATGCAAGTAGAACCATGAATAAGGCACAAAGAAATTATACAACAACTGAAAAAGAACTATTTGTTGTAATATTTGCTATTGAAAAATTTAGACCTTATCTGATCTTGTCTAAAGTGATTGTTTATACTGACCATTTTGCATTGAAGTATTTACTTGCTAAAAAAGATGCAAAACCTAGGTTGATAAGATGGATTTTATTGTTGCAAGAATTTGACCAAGAAATCAAAGACAAGAAAGGCATAAAAAACATGGTAGTTGATTATTTGTCTAAATTAGATGGGGAGTATGTGGAGAGCATGGATGAACACCCTTTGCATTATGAATTTCCTGATGAGAAATTATGTTTTGCGCATGATAATGATGAACCGTGGTTTGCTAATTTTGCTAATTTTCTTGTACGTGATGAGCTGCCCCCTAACATTTCTTTTCATCAAAAAAAGAAATTTTTATCTGATATAAGGCACTGTCTTTGGGAGGAACCATATCAATACAAGATTTGTATAGGTGGCACGGAGATAAGATGCATACCAAAGGAAGAGGTGCAGAGTATACTTAGTTTTTGTCATGACAAAGAAGCAGGTGGGCACCATGGACCATCCAAGATGACGACGAAGGTTATACAATGTGGCTTTTATTGGCCTACATTATTCAATGATGCTTATGCC